CCCAGGTGTGGTTCATTTAAAGTCTATCTTGGGGTAGTCCAAAAGTGGAGCCCCGTCCACGGCAGAATTTTTGTGACAGGCCTTTCGCTCAGTCGTGGACAAGGTCTGCAAACGCCATGTCTTAGAAGCCACCGGCGTGCAGGGCTTTCAGGCGCACGGGGGGTGTGATTCGAAATTGGGATCGGAGCACCAAAATTAATTTCGGGTTTCCTCGTGAAGTCTTTTTTATATTACCAGCCCAAAAAACAGTACACTCAAAAAAGAAGAGACACTTTCAGGGACCCCCCCATGTTTGTACCCTTTCTGCACGCCGCAAGCAGTTTGTCTCTGGTTGAGATCTTGCCCCGCGCTATGTTTCATGCTCAGGAGCGCATTGTTGTGGGCAACCTGTCGCGCTCCATCAACCAGCTGCACGAAAATCTGACCGCCGTCAAGGGGGATGGCTGCGTTCAGCGCCTTGGCATGCACTTTGAGGCGGGAGAGGTCTTGGATTTTGGGCCAGCCGCAGGCCCAGTCTGTGGCCGTGCGTGATACGTGCACGAGACCCAACAGGGGAACCGAGCAAGTTGCAAGTTGCGAGGTTCGGCAATAGCATTTCTCGCTTGGAGAAGGACACGCTGGGTGCGAGTGAAGTGGCGTGTGAAACTTGCCCCCGATGCGTGCGCAGGAAGTTATCAGGAGAGAGGCGCGACTGAAAGGCTACACCATCATCGAGGACGAGACGGGTATGAAGGTATCCCGAATGCCTCTCGCCCGCTTCGGGGGGCGGCTGCGTTGCATCTGCCTGCTGACTGTCATTTGCTGTCCCATGCCATACCCCAAGTGGACCCAAATGACTCCAAATGGACATACACAGCCCAAAATCAGCCATGAGAAATAGGGATCATAGGAGCCATCCAGAGCACCATAGGCGGGGCATGTTCATGTGGGGCAGCAAGTTGAGCATTACGAGGACTTGACTGCTGAAGCGGGTCGGGCATCTCCGCTTTGGCATTGCGCACGCTCACATTCAATAACCCGGCGCCCGTTTGCAAGCGCACCACTCCTTGCTGCCATTCTCTTATTCTCTGCCACGTGTGCCACGTGGGCGCTCGCAAAATAGGCCCACTGAAACACAGTGGAGAAGTGGAGCTTACCCTGGCATTGGGAGGCCGATAGGCATAGCGAGCTCATTTTCATAGCATAACGAGCTCACCAGGACAACGGTCCTTTTCTTGGGGATCCCTTAATTCGGCTTTTGAATTATAGTTTCAAGTGCAGATGAACCGGTGCCGTCGGCTGTGTAAACTTTGGAGTCAGCTGGCCATAGGCCAGATACTGAGAAATGGCAGCTCCTTTGCCCAGGTCGATGCTAGAAGTTCCCAAGCAGCTTGGACGCAGGAAGTGAATCCACGGGCCTTGGGGCTTCTCGATGGTTGCCAAATTCCGCACGAAGGGATGGGCATGCAAGAGGGGGGCTTGTGCAACCTAGGAAAGAGGCGAGCGTCAAAGACGATCTGTGCCTACTTCATGGCCAAGTCTTCGAAAAGCTGCCTGGCCGATGGTCGAGCGTTTGACATAGGTCGGGTGTGCTTGGCTTGATGCCGCCTCGCCCAAGGTATGCGACAGGGCGAGTGGGAACGCCACATGCCGGCAGTTCAGAGTGAGGAAGACTTGAACTGAGGTTGTATGAAAGCCCCTTTGATATAAATCTAATCTTCGGAGCTGTGTCCAAACTGCGGAAACCACAGCCTGCCGGTTACCACACAGGCCGACTTAGTAGCTGAAAAGCAACGACAACAAAACAATAATAAACACCACAACGTGTTGCACATAGATTGCCTTTGCCGCCAAAGTGTACTTCGTGTACTAAACTTGGTACTGAAAGTTGGGATTTTCGAGCTGGACCTGCCAAAGTGTACATCGCGTGCTGCACTTGTACTGAACAGTTGGAGCTGGAGCTGCCAAAGCGCACTTCGTGCAATATGCGTGTACTGACCAGTTGCAAGTTTTCAGCTGGAGCTGCAAGCGCGCTTCGTGCAATATGCATGTACTGAATAGCTTGATGTCGAGGTTGAAGGTATACAGAAAGCGCAAAGCGCCGGAAGCCGATAGGAAGTTTTTGAAACAAAGCAACTCAATCGAGGGTCACCTGCAGACAGTACCAGGGTATAGTAGCAAAGGGAACTGGTAGGTCAGCCATGGTCTCGACACATCAAGCTCAGAAGCCATTTTGTCGGTGGAAGGGGACATTCCACAAATGAAGGGTCTCTGCAGAGCATGGGGAGGGAGCAGCGTGGCAGAGTAGCAGTGGCAACGTGCGCAGGCAGACCTACATGAGAAGAAATGACCTGATGCCCAGCCGCACTCATCAGCATTTCAGCGTGGACGATGCGGATGTTTGGATGGCTTAGTTCTAGCTGGGAGTAAAACTTCAGCCGTTCGTTGGGATCACTTTGGGCCCTAAGGACAGAGATGCTGAAGCGAGAAGCTTAGTGAAGGAATGCTGGAAGCTAGTGCGGTTGGCTGATTGATCATGGTGAGATTAGTGTCTCATTGCGCGCTGAGGTTCATGGGCTCCCACGAAGAAAGCAACTCCCAGTTGATTCATTGGGCACCTTCTTTTAGAAGATCCTTTGCGTTACGGGGGAAAAACCCCTTTCAGTTTACATGTTTTCTTCATCCGTGGGATTTGCGACGTTCTGCTCAGGGATGCGCCACCTGGACGCGGGGATGCCTTGGCTGTAGCGCTGCAGAAGGCGTGGGTCGGATCGGTCGGATGGTGGCATTTTGATGTTTCAATCACATCGCATGTTGCCAAAGGCCATGGGATAAGGAGCCATAGCCCAGAGGGGGTGCCCCATCTGCAAAACCAGTCTTCCGGTTGACTGGTTTGCCTTTTCCAGTGGGGAAAAATGCCGCCTCCGGTTGATTTCAGAGGCAAGCCCTTTCGCTTGGCAGGCCTATGATGATACCTTGCACTTGCAGATCGAAGTGACCAAGGCCTCAAACGGGCTCTCCCAGCTCCGCGGCCAGAGATAAGATATCTTGGGCGGCTTTGTGTGTGGTGTTGGACATGACTTTAGCCCGAACACGTGTCAAAGCCATGGGCCCGGTTTCCTGGTCTCTGCTTTTCCTGAGGCGGTTTTTCAAGGTCTTCCTTGATGCCGCCGGGCCCTTGGATGCTTCAAACGTGCATGGCGGGTGTTCATGCGGCCTCTCCCCCAAAGCGAACCCCCCCCCCTTTGCAAGTGCCGAACTGGCTGTTTGGTCCCATGTTCAATGTCCAGTCCCGCCCAGCGATGGACATGCAGTAAAAATTCGGATCTCCCAAGTGCGAAAACGGAGTGGGTAAGTTCGGGACCCGAGGCCATGCAGCAAGCGGGTTGGTACCCGAGCCCTGAGATTCTCCAGGCTCATTTGCTTGGCGCGAAATCGAGTGGTCCGGGGCTCCGTGGCGGTTGGCCGGAACCCGTTCGAGAAACGGGGGACGCGCGCACAGGCGTTGCAGGACAAAGCCGACGCCGAGCTGGAATAAAGGCCTGGCCTCCATGAGCGTTGACCATTTCTATTGTTTCCGACCTGCCAGGCGTCTCTTCACAGCTTCCGTGCAGGGGGCAAGGCTGATAGCAATGGGCAGCACTTCGAGTGTCCATCGACCCTGTCGGCCATGAATCACACCGCTCAGTACTGAGCTTCTGTTAGTGCCATGGTCAGCTGTTGCAGTGCCAAGGGGGCACGGCTTCCGAGGGATGTGCTTGCGGTAACCAATCAAATCACAAGCAAGCAGGTCCTTCATGCGCTCAGCTTGGCCCAACAGGCAAAGGCCTGACACGCATAGCACTGGATGCGAGGAGGAGTTGTTTCAGTTCGTGCAAGAGTTTGCGCGGTTCATCCCATTTGAGGTACTTACTTCACTGCTATTGGGTTGGATTTTTAGAATTTAAGTTTTGGGAAATGAGGGGTTTTCCACTAAACCCCCAAAAAGTGAAACTTTTCGCAGGGGGGTCGTTGCAGCAACCGAGCTTCTAGGGGCCCGAACTCATGTGTTCGATACCAACCCGAGACCAACCCGAGACTCCATGTTTCTCGGGCCGAGCTCTCGTGTCCAGGGCGTGTTGGCCTTGCCGCTGAAAGCCGGGATCGATCCGGCTGTGTAGTCTACCGTTGAACTGGGTCCCCGAATCCGTCAACTCAGTCCCGGCGAACGTGGAAGCGCATGGATGTCTGCAAGACGACTTTCCTCTTAGAAGGGGGCGTTGGGCGGTTCCATGTTAGCTGGTGGCAGGGTACACCGTAGAAGTCTTTACATCCATCCCAACCTTGCCCTAAGAGCGAGGTTGGAATTTTGCGAGTACCAAATCGGGACTCGCAAGTGTTGACTTTTATGCCTTTGGAGGACGTTGGCGATGCAGCCGTGCCTCTTCGTCCCAGAGCACGCCAGTTCAAGACCCCGCATGGTTGTGTCGTTTTTTGTCTCTTCTTTCTTTCTTGTTTTTTGTGGGCTTTGGGGACAGTCATAGCTGTGGATCTCTTTCCTGACTGATCTTTTTTTATGTCTTTGGGCTTGGCTGGAAAGAGCACGCCCTTTTTTACGTGTGCACCCAGCGGTTTGGTCAGATTCCTTGGTGACTCCAGCGAAAGGCGGCTTGGAAGATTACCTTTTTGGGTTTGGTGCTCCACGTTCGGGATTAATATGGCTGTGGGTCAAAATCCAGCACTTGGGGTTAGGCAGGGTTTAGTCTACCTTTCCATTTGCCAGGGTTCCATTTTGGACCCTATTTTTGAGCCACACCCATATGGGCTCAAGGCAAGAGAGCGCCATTTGAAGATGCACGACCCGTCGCGAAGACAGTCGCTCCGGTCCTTTGCAGTAGGGTCGAGGGAGTTCTCCCAGATCTTACACTCATGGCAGTCGCTCCGTTTTTACTCCTGCGCCTGGTGCGTGGAAAAAAATGACGCCGCATGCTCCTTGCTTGCCGAAAATGCTCCTTCGCAGTTTGCAGCTTGCCGCATGCGAGGCCCGCGCCAGTTAGGCAGGCACGGACTCGCAAGACCTTCAGCTGCAGTTTTTGCCCACAGCTCTTGGACAGTGGTTCCGGCGCTGAGGACACGCCGGGTGACTGTGGTTTCCTCCGGCTCCGATGGTGGGCTGCTGAGAGGGATTCCGGACGGAGGTTGTTTGAACGCGAGTGGTGCAAGTGCTGACGTCCTTTGCACCTTTGCATGTCGGCAGTGCCATTTTGGCAGTATCTGTGAGAATGATCCGGAGATGTGGTTCAAATTTTGCCGCTGTACCATGGAAGGCCGTTTTCCGGCTAGGCCAAAAGGAGAGAGCGACTGTTGAGTTTCCCTCATAAGCTTTTTAGACGGGCTGCATTCTGGTCCCATGTGGGTCAAGCAAAAACTGGGATGGTGAGGCGGGAGCTCACGTAATATCAGACCTTTGGGAGAAGCCCGAACAATTCGCCGACTTCGAGGGGGAAGCGGGGGAAACCATTGTTGGTGTTTACCTGGAATCGTATCATTCCCAGTGTTTCGCAACCTTCCACAGTACCAAGGGTTGTAAAGAAGGGGAAGCGGCAAATTTCTGCCGTGGCTGTCATCCCTATCTCACAGGCTCGGTGGCTCACACATTTCCGGTGCTGGCGCTACCGGTGGAGGCAGCGCAAGTGGACGAGGTCGGCAGAAGTGGGCGGGGCCTGTTTTTTGGGGACCCCCTAAGCCGGGTACCAATGGTTGGATTTCTGTTTGTTTTCTTTTAAGACCAGCAAGCGGACCCTCAAGAAATGACACCCAATCTTGGCTATCTGATTTTCCCATACAAGCTGGAAACCCTGTTGGCTATCTTCTTGGATGCGTTTGTTTTTTATTTATTTGTTTTGCGTTGACAACCTCCCTGCCCCCCCCCCCCCAGGTAAAGCCAAAAGGAGGTTGGAAGGGAAAGCACATATTGCCTCAAGAGCCAACCCTGGTTCAAGCAATTGCACAAGCAAACCCTCACTAGTTGCCGTCAAATTCTGGGACTGCACTAAAGCTTAAATGTCAAAACAGTCTTTTGTTTCACAACCCATGGCCGTATCTTGTTTCCTTTGTTTCCCATTTGTGTAGAAAGCAGGGGTTTAATTGGATTGGTGGTTTGGGGATTTGAGCCTCTGGTTCCTGCAGAGGGTTAGAGGGTAAATGGGAAACCACCCCCCCCAACCACGAAACCAACCAGCAAATCGAGGGGAGCTGATTCACCCTCAAACCCCTCAACCCTGTGAGGTAAGAACCCAACACCCTACAGGCCATTAAGCCCTGGAAGCCCTACGCCCCAAACCCAAGCCTCAACCCCATGAGTTGGATCGGTTGTTTGGGGGTCTCTGGCTCCTGTAATTAGAAGGTTAGAGGGTAAATGGGACACCACCCCCCACCCCCCACCCCCCGGAGCCCCATAGAGGTGGACGAGCTGACAGCGGAGCTGGCAGAGACGGAGGAGCTGAAGCAGCGCATGACGCGGCTGATGGCTCTGGTCGACACAGAGGCGGGGGTTAGGGTGGGGAGGGACGGGGGAGGAGGGGTTGCTAAGCTATTGCCCTTTTACCGTTTCTTTTTTGGTGGGGAGGGAAACCCCGTACTAAAATAGACTACAGAAAAAAAAGTTGGTCCTCTCTACTAGGGGACCTAGTAAGGGTTGGTTGCAGGCCGCTCTTTGTTTCTTTTCGGGGGTTGGAGGGGGGTGTTTCTCCAAGGAACCCTCATGGAAACCACCTTTCTATTTGCGTTGGTTTAGATGGGTGTTTTTGTTTTTCAATCAGCAAGGCATGCCAGACAAATGCAGAGAGACCATTCTTTTCAATGAAGGGGATGAGTCGTCCCGTAGGTGAATGAGGGCAGCTTCGAACCCGACGGCGAAAAGGAGCACGAGACATCCGTTGCCGAGGGCGAAAGGAACAGCATGGGCGACTCGGCGTGAAGCACATGGGCGTGCTTTCGGCTTGGGTTTCCTTGCAATAAGGAAGGCCTGGCTTCTTGTTCTTTTTGCGGGGAGGGGGGTCGGGCCTATTTTGACATAAATCGCACACTTCGTTACCCGCCAGAAACACAAGGGATGGATACCCTCCCCTACATGGGACCCACGAGAAATTGCCCAGTTTAGAGGACAATTTGCAAATCCCCATTACATGGGACCCTCAGTCGTGTTCCACGTTAGCTAATGGGACGTGGTTTGTAGACCCAGGCGAAGGTTCGCCTGAGATCGGCTCTGAGACTTCTCCGGCTGAGTCGCAGGACGCGCAGGGGGTTTCGGAGTTTTCGGTGCGATGCGACTCCTTTCCGGCCGCCGCCGCCCTGAGACTGGGCTGTTCAAAGGTAATCCACTAGATCCTTACCCAAGGGGTTACGCAAGGATTTGATCCTCTTTGTAGTGGCTTCCCCTATAAAGATTATGGATTAGGATTGGCCAACCTGCCATTTTGAACAGCCCAGATTGGAAGGACTTGGAAAAAGATCCCAGCAGCCGCTTCGAGGACGATTCACGGATGGGTTTGACCACCACTCGCCTGACTTTTTTTTTTTGTCAGCCACAGTAGGTAGCCATGGATGGCCTGGATGTGCACTACCGTCGGCGGCTGCGGCAGAGCTTGAAGGAGGCAACTTAGCTGCGGAGCTTGCATCCGCTGGCTAGGAAAGCATCCACCCCCCCCACCTTCAGAGGCCACCAGCTGGCGTTGACCCCCCGGGATTTTTACAGAATCGCCCAGCCAGTGCCTGGCAGCTGGCGATGTTCTTTTGCCAGGTGCTGGTGCGAGAGCTTCGCCGCGCGGAGTTCAGGCGGGTGCGAGTTCTCCCCCAATTGAAGAAACAGCACCATTTTGAGTATGTGGGAAAAGGGGGGGGACACCCAGAACGGTTTTCGGTTCGTTCCTCTTGAAGGTGAGAAGGATCACTTCGCCTCAAGAGGACATACCAATTTCGAGGGTTGAGGAGGTCAATTTCAGCGAGACTCAGCTTGAGAGGCCGCCGTGGGCCCCCTGGAAGTTGAGAACGCAGGAGGACCTAAGTCGCGAAGCGGAAAATGTGTCATGCGTGTAGCTTTTCAACCTCTGCGTGTAGGACACGTCCTTCAGCGACGTTGAAGGCACGGGCGAGTTTTTTTTGTTGTTGTGGCATCGGGCCGAAGAGGCAGTGGGTAGGAACGCCGCTCCTGATTTGAGGCCCTTTCAACCATATAGCAACAGGGAACCAGCTATGAGGGGTCCGACTCGTTTTGACATGTCTTGACACCTGGCCATGTTGCTTTGCTTTTGGGCATCTTCCGCGCTTTGGAGGTCTGCTGGATGAGGCCTCTAAGGCACACAGCTGGCCTGATCCAGATGGCGAGGCTGGGTCGGCATTGCTTGCCCTTGCACGAGCTGTCAGAAAGGCATGCGACAGTGCTTCCCGACTTGAGCATGGGCTCTTGCTCGTGATGGTGGGAATTGTCGGGAGAAGTCAAGCGTGAGTCTTTCACCATGACACCAGTGAAGAGCAGCACGACGCACAGCACAGCAGCGCGACATGCCATGCGCACCTTGCCCATGCTTAACCCTTCAGCCAGATCGGGCGGTCCCGCGAGTGGACCGAGCCTTTGTGATTGCAGAGCACCCCGAGCTGGGGCTTTTGGTCTTGCAGGCGTACAAGAAGAAGAAGGGCACGCATTTCCAACTTCCCGGAGGCCACGTGGACTCTGACGACACCGGCCCCGCCTGCGCCGCAGCCCGGGAGCTTTTCGAGGAGACGGGCATTGACGTGCGGGAGAACCTGGAGAGGCTGCAGCCCCTCGTGTTCCCCGATGGCTCCAAAGTCCTGCAGGCACTGGGGGCCAGACCTTGGCCGTGAAAGGCGAACAAAACGGATGTTCGAACCTAGGGGGATGCTTGAACATTAGATGGTTGCAGCCTTTTTAAGGGTGATTGCTCCTTTGGGTTGTAAAGGGGGACCAAAAAGAAACCAACCAGTTTTGTGTGTTTCCTAAAAAAGCGAAAACCCAGTTGTAAAGGGGGACCGACAAGAAACCAACCATTTTTGTGTGTTTCCTTACCCCCAGATGCTTCAACTAAGGAGGGGGTCAAAAAGCAAATTCTGCCAGGGTCGCGCGTACTTCCTTCTGGAGCTTTGTGCCTCTGACGGCTTAGGGCCCACCCCTCCTTTTGGCGCAGAAGCCGGGTCCTTTGGTCTGCTTCTCTCGGAGGCTGGGGCCCGGAGAAACCACACGCTAAGTGAGCAGAACAGGATTGGATGGCAACACATGTGGCACACGCAGGTGGACAAGCCAAGAGTGTTACACACTCAACTGCAGGCACATGGCCACGCAGGCATACAAACCTTTCAACAAGGTGGAAAGCTGGAATAAAGGCTGTAATCTCATAGAATATGGCACCAAAGACGGCAACGAAGAGGGAATTGCGTGAGAACGAACATCTATTTGGGATATCTCGTTACCACTTTTCACAGTTTTGCGGGTTTCTGGCCTGTGCTGGTCATGGCCCGCTGGCAGGCCATCCCTCAGCTCTGCGCGGAGCATGTCAAAACAACAGCCAGATGGGATATCATTGGCCTTCCAAGAGAATTACTAAATTCCGGGCATCACACAGAATATCCCCAACTAGGGGTGCCCAATTGACTCTGTGAGTATTTGTGCTACCACTGCCCATCCGTGAGTTGTATTAAGGGCAAATCCCATTATCAGCTTGGTCTTTCAAACTGGGCCATTGAACCAGACTGTGTCTCATAATCCTTTTTGGTTTTCCTTTCCAATCAGCTCCAAAAGTTTAAGACCCAATGCAACCTAACCAACCTTACCCAACGACTTCTGGTTGTCCCTCAAGCATTCACCACCAAAATCCATGGCCTTCTCCGGTCGTGTTCCGAAGCCTTAAAAACCCTCGGGTATTTCACGTGTTTACAAAAGAGCCTAAATCCCAATATTTTCCGCCATGGCTGCATGTCAAAACCTGGGTTTTTCCAAAGCACGGTTCTCCCTTGAGCCTTCACCCAATGAGCAAAAACCCATGGCCCGGGGTCGTTCTCCGCTTTCCCTCAACTGCTATTGGGTGGATCTTTAGACTAACTTTTTGGGCAAGGGGGTTTCCACTAAACCCCCAAACAGCTAAACACAACTTTTGCAGGGGTCGTTACTGCAACCAAGATCTATGGGACCCTTTGCCTTTTGCTGGGGTCATTTTGACGGTTTCTGAAAGTTATCAAAGTCAGGAAATGTGTCTGTTTCCCTTCAACCCACCACTGAACGGAGGTGACTGAACGGGGGTTTTCTCCTCCGGCCGGCTTTACCGCTCCGGAGGAGCACCAGGGCTTCCAATTCCTGGGCCTCGCGGAGGCCGAGAAGGCCGTGGCCCTGCACTCGGCCGGCTGCTCCAGCTCCGCGCTCGCGGCGCTGCGCGCGCTGCGCGCGCGAACGTGACGGGGGGAAAAATGCGACGCTCCGGGTTTTGCGGCTCGTTTTGCTGCTTGGGCGGGTTGCCCCAAAGTGAGCCACAAGCAAAGCCCGGGTGGATGAAGGGTAGTAAGTGACAACCCACCCAGAAATAGCTGTGGTCGCCTTCTTAATTCTTCACATGGCTCTGGGTAGACCATTTCAAAACTGGTTTTGAGTGCTGTTGGGCAATGTTCCCATATCAATCAACCCCAGTTTATTAATAGGGGGGTGTTGCCCGAAAGTGGTCTGATTCCCCACTACATCCAGGATGAACAAACAGGGGTTGATTGATATGGGGTCGACATTCTCTGGTTGACCCTAGGCTTCAAGCCCTTTTAAAAATGGAAAGGACCCAGTTGGTTGGACCTTTGGTTCAGTTGAAGCAGCTCGAATTGTCCGTATTGGAAGCACAAACCGTTTAACATGTCAAGAGCATTCGTTTTCGGTTTCGCTTTCAAAAGTCGGTGCGAAGAACGCTGGTGCGAGTCGCCGTTTTGGACTTGATAGAAAATTGATGGGTGAAACCCCTTTGGTTTCGAACAAAACTAGCCGCGCCTTCTTTGGCCTCAAAGCGGACGAACAAGTCCAAGTGAGGCAGTGAACAGCCTTTGGGGCAATTCGCGAATCACGGAAGCTGATTTTGATGCCTTTGCCGTTCCTGATGTGCGCGAGGTGGCTGAGCTGCTGTCCGAGCTGGCTAGAGGCTGGTTGTGTATTTCTCCTGCGGGTTTGTGTCTCGTGCCCCAAACAGCACGCCACATGACCCTTAGTCATGAGGTTCCGGAAATATAAAATGACGTCATCCAGGGTGCGTGCAAGAAACTCAGTGGCAGGCGGCACCGTGGACCCCGGCGACTACTGGGCCAGCATCCTACAGCCTATATTGGGACCCTCTCAGACGGTTGGCGCAGCCAAAATTATGTGCACAGTCAACACCCGCTGCGCTCCGCAGGTGCGTGGGGTCTTGCTCTCAGCGAAACCAGCCGCGCCGCCCAGCCCAGATGCCGTGCGTTTGGGCGTCCAGGCATGGGATTTGGAAGGCCTACGGGATGATGTCGGGTGCTGAGGAGTTGGTCACGTCAAGCGCCTGATATTTCACAGTTCCGTGTCCTCCCAGCCTGCCCGTTTCCAAAATGGGGGGCCCACGCGGACCTGCATTTCCATAAGGACAACAAACAAGGGGAAACCAATCAGCTTGCATATTAGTTTCCTGATTTTGTGACACCCCCAAACCATCCGAACAAAATCCCCCAATTCTTGCAGGCCCTCCATGGCTGATTTCCTCTTTGCTTTTCCTTGCAAAGTGCATCCCACAAATCCATGGTTTTCGCTGAGTCCGGACAAATCGTTTTGTTTCTAGGGATGTTCTATGATGCCATGTTCAAAGCTGTTGGGAGTGGGGGTATTTGGTTTGGATTTGTTTGGGGATTGAACCCCTGGTTTTTGTTGGGTCATCTTGACCCCATCTTAGTCAACCCCAGTTCACCCACGTTGACACCCTATGAAACCACTGAGATCCCTTCCGCAGGTGGCGTTAGTCCAGCTGGAGCTCAGAGCCAAGAAAAGCTTGGCGTCCGCCGGGCGCCCCGAAACCGCGGGATTTGGGCGGCCCTTCAAGCATGGCTTGGGGCTCTTCAGATGTTGGTCATGTTTTTGTAGTTTTTGTTTTTTTGGCGGGGGTTCTGTTCATGTTTAGAAGGGGGGCTGCAAAATGAACACTTTTTTGCTACCAGTCAAAAGTCCGGTAAACTTTTTTTTTTTTCGCGGGCCAACCCACTCAAGAAGTGAGACATGGTGGATTTGGGCCCAGTGGGTACCCTCAAAAGAATTGACACGCCACGAAATGGGACATCCGCACAGTGGGCAGCACATTGGCCCCCCGAGGTCGCTGAGCTGCCAAGCCGTTGTAGGTACCAAGCCATCGATTGTTCTTACTGCGGGTGGTTGCGTCCATTTCCCGCCACCGTTCCGAAAGCCTGGTGTCTGATGATTCCCCTGCCAAAAAGCAAGCAACGTTATGGTTCCAACCATGGCTTCATTTCGGGGTGCGGAACGGATTTCGCCCACCCACAGGATTCAATAGGGGGACAAAGGGGGCCTTGCCGATCGGCGAATCGAGGCCGGCCAGGCCCCTTGAAACGCTCGCGCGGGTCCGGGCGTGGGCTTCAGGTTCGCCAAGGCGTGCTGGAGCAGTTGGCAGGGCCTGGGCCTCGAGGTCGACAGTCGAGGCATGTCGAGGCGTTCCCTGGGAAGTGGATCAGCCGAAAGGGAACGCAGAGTTGACATTGTGTTCGTGCAGGCCTGATATGCGCTTGCTTTGGGTTTGGCCCGGAGCACGATCAGATGAAATCAGCCAGCGCTCCAGCGGCGCAGCAAGCCATCCAAAGCTTGAATATGGGACTTCCCCGCTGAAAATGGTGGGGTTCCTCTTGCTTTGCTTTTAATTATCAGCCACAAAAAGGGGGTACCCCCCCAAAACGACTAACAAACAATAGATAAATAAGTAAACAAAAGACTAAATAAGTAAGCAAAATGAATAGATAAACAAATAAATAACTAGATAAATGATCAAACATAAGAAAGACATCATGATTCTTAAATCAAGTCAATAAATCAATAAAATAAGTAAAACCGTATATGAAGAACACGGTCGCACCCATATCTGCCAGTGAGCACGCAGCTACACGCAGCTAAGACTGTGATAGTTCGTAGTTGCCCTTTGACGCTGGAAAGGAAACGCCACACCACCCAGTTTAGTCTATTTTAGTGGTTGGATTGGGATGTTCACTAGGGGCTAACCGGGCTTTTGACCCATGGCCACATTTTTGTACCAGATCGTTTGTCGCTTTCCTTTCCGGTGCAGCCTCTCAACCTGAGCCGCCATGGACCCATTTGGTCTCGAGTCCTCTGAGGAGGTTGGGGAGGCGCCTGCGAGAGTCAACTCGTTGTAACCCAAGGGTGGTTCATCCGTACCCGTGAATCCACCGAAAGGTTGGGGAACTTCCAGTCATTTTGGATCCGGAGAAAATGAAGAGAACAAGAAACGGATAAAAGCGCAAAACACCCAACCACGGATCATAGCCACCCCAGCCACGGCCCGGCCAACTCCGAGATTTTGTCCCGCCAGTGGGGCGAAATCTGCGGGCACGATCGGGGAAAGAGTGTGAGACACATAAACAGAAGAAAGGAAAAGAGAGAACCAACCCCCAACCACAACAACGCAGAGGGCCCAAGTACCTGCGAAAGGGCAGCACAAGCGGACCCCCCAACTCCAAATATGCAGGAACCAGCCATTCCTCCTTGAAAGGGTGACAAAAGAAGGGGAACCAGTTTGGCGGATTGCAATCGGTCAGCCTAGCAAAGGTATGAATGCTTTCCGTTTCACCGATCCCAGAAAAGGAAAGAGAGGCTTAAACCTACACGGGCTACACAATAGCTAATGGTTCCATGGGTACTCAGTACCAGGAAGGTTTTTTTAAGTGACAACCCCACAAGGACACGGAAAATTGAGGGACAAGCTCAGAAACAAGCAAGCGCGTGTTTCGATCCAGTTCCAAAGCCTTCGGGAAATTGCCCCTTCCATCGTGTGCTTGTTGGCAGGCGTGTTGCCCCCCCAGAGTTCTACTTTTCTTGCTGGTTCGCAGGACATTTTCGGGAAAGAGCCGGCCCATCCCTTATGGCTTATGCAGGGGGCTCTGTCAAATCGTACGCCGCTCCGATGAGAGCATCGCGTTCTGTCTCTAAGTTGGTGCAAAAAATCGCAACCGCACCCCCTTCACACCCAAGAGGATTGACTTGCTGGTGCTCAGTAGGGAATGACCCAGGGTTTTGGGAATGAACCTAGGGATTCCCTTGAAGAAAGCCGTAGTGGATGGTTTTTTGGGGTCATTTGCGTGTCTCCTTTGCCGCTTCCTTCAAGGCCTTGGAGGTCTTTGCCGGCTCGTGCGAGAGGGGGCTGCGGGTGCTGCAGGAGGTGGCGCCCGGGGAGGTGGCACCTCGACGAAGCTCTATCCCCTGCGACTGCCAGAAAACATGGCCGGGGTGTCTTTTTGCAATTGAAAGGTTATTCATAAAGTTTTCGTGGCCTCCTATTATAAAGAAAGAAATTCATGTGAGTCAAGATGAAAGCCACCAGCTGGCAGTGGAGAAATATCCTATTTGCAAGGTTTTTCCCGTGTAGGACTTTTGCCGTCGGTATTTCAGTTGAACCATGGCCACACTAACTCACAAGCTGTCAAGCTGTGTTGTTTTGATTTGCGCCTAGTGCCTGCGCTTCAGCTTCCACCGGACAAGAAGGACCAACTTGAAGGGCAGACAGCTATTCTGTGGATCATTGGCTCATTAGGAGAAGTGTTGATTGGACGTTGGCAGATGCATGGACACGGCCCAGCAATCGAACCACCCGGGCTTCGAGAAGCTGAGGTCCTGTCCACTGCGTCTACTTTGCCTCCCTGCGTGCTTTGCGCTGCAAGAGCGGTACGCCGCCGTTGGTTCGCCGTGCTTCGCTTTGCTCTGCAAGGTCAGCTGCGACGACTTTGCGGCCACCGCAGCGCAGCGCTGGCCGGAGTTCCCGAGCTCGGAGCGGCGCAAGCTGCTGCAGCTCCGGTGGCGGAGCGCAGGACCCGTCAGCGAGGCAGAGCCGCAGTGCGTGCTGGACTGGCCGGGAGGCGGAAGTACGGCAAGCGCGCCCCCGCCAAACGCGCGGTTGCGGGGCGTGGCGGCCTGCAATGGCATGGCAGTGGCCAAGCTGGTGCTGAAGCCATCTCTGCTTAAGACGTTGGAGGCGCAGCCCAGGCATGGCCTGGCTGTGTACCCCAACGGCAGCCTCATCAACCACTCCTGCCTGCCAAATGTCAACAGGCGGGCTTTGGGAACTTAACACCGGCTCGAGCATGCCAAGCCTTTGCTTTACTCTGAGGCTGCCATTTCAGTCCTGCTTGGTGGTTCGTTCCTCCAGACGGCTCATGCCCGGGCAGCTTGGCTTTGTGGGTACAAAGATCAAAGATCATCTTTTCAACGTTTTGGAAAGTCCTGGCAAAGGTTTCATTCTTGGTTCAGCAAGCGTGGCTAAATACACCGCAATAGACAGCGTGCCCCGCAACGAACACTTTGCATCGGCAGCTTCAGTTTGGCAAGGCCCGCGCGCCCGGGTGCCTACGCGATTGGCGCTAACTCTGCGTCACCCACTTTTTTTCGCCATTTAACCCGAAGTGCGTATGAAGCAGACGGCTCGCTTGACTCGACTCGCAGCGCTTGGCTCGAGTATAAGAACGCTCAACCGCATTATAGGTTATCAGCCGTAGCAGCCAGTTGTACAGGTAGCGAGCCGTGGGTGCGGATCCTGGATATTCCCCTACTGAGGTGACACCTGTCACATTTACTTGATGGATATGCGATGACGTAGCTCCACTCCCAGTACCAGACGAAAGATCGAGCAAATCGGAGTTTGCGTGGCGTACGAGATGACCATAATCCCGCGCATCGCATGACAGACAATGGCTGTATGACAGCAGACTGAATTACTCTCACTCTTGACGTGCCTTCCTTGGTGTTTAAAGTCAAAGCCTGTGGTCAAGGACGCCCTGGAACACCTGTTACGGACGACCTCAATTGCAAGGAAGCTGCCAAGCAATAGTGGCACTTTGATGATGCCACGTACTTCTTCCAGGAGAACGTTGGTAATGCCCGCCAACGGTCGCGGCCTTGAAAAACATTTGGACAAGACGCCAGCGAAGAAGTCAACCAGGCTTTGCTTATTTGGATCAGCTCTGTTTCGGCTGAGCAATTACGTTGAGCGCGCGGGCGTCAAGAAGTGGTCCGTTAATTGTTTGCGGGCTCCGGTTGCGCAGGCGAACATGATCCGCGCAGCACTTCAGGACGCTTCCTTGCACTCTAGTGGCCCCAACGCACTCTATCCCCTTATTTTCGTCCAAGAAGCAGATGGGTCATTCCTGCAAATGTGGCATCAAGAGCAGTGCCAATCGCTTGAAGTGCAAAGGCGCCAAAGATCATGGTCAACAATTTGTGACCCAGCTGAAGCAAAAGCCTATGTGAGCACTGCAAACCAATTGCCAATGATAGAGAGGGTCGCCAGCCAGAAGGAAATTCATGAAACCAACAAGTTCCGGCGCGAAGGAACGCAGTCTCACCATTAGCAATAGTGAAGACAGGGCGCACTTGCTTGAGTGGCTGGCGCAGCAGAGTGACGAGAAAGGCTCCGCGGAATGGCGCAAGACAAGCTCACGGGCTTGATGAGCACCAACAACAAGCCCGGCGTCGTACACTGAGCCACCCAAGCTGGCCGCAACGTGGTCAACAAGACAGTCGGGCGTCTCGCATGGAGACACTGCGCCCAGGACAAAACCAACAATGACCTCATCGCCTGCTCGCCTTGGGTGACTTGCAGGGTTGGGAGCATATTTTTGCGTTGACCCTTCCACTCCCGGTCCAGTTGAGTGTGAGGCAACCCTCCTGCCAACATAAAGTCACACGAGCGGCGGGGGATCCGTGCCATGGACCCCATCTTTGAATGGACCAGTTGTTCCTTACAAGTCGCGCGGCAGCAGAACCTGACCGAGTCTGAACTCAGTGCCTGCATTGAGGAAGAAGCGCCAGCCGGCCTAGACCTCAAGAAGCCAGATGACCAAGACAATCAGATGATAAGTTTCGCGTCAATCGAAGACGCAGCCGTGACGGCAGCCCCCAGCCACTTGGGTTACGACCGCCGACGCGCCCGTGCAAAGCTACGGAACCCTAGGCGCATCATCTCAACATATACCCAGAGTATGGCAGCGTTTGCAAGACCTGTGACGCATGTCAAAAGGTCAAGTGGATGGCGTTCCGAAAGCTGACTTGCGTCGACCGTCTTGACATTGACTTCACCCTGAAAACAGAAACGCACTTTTCTCATTGATCGCTGCCTTTCCCTTGGCCGCAGAGACTATCAGCTGCGTACGAAGTCTAACGTGGAAACTTGTGCAAGTAGTTTGCTCAGAGAAGCCGCGCAAAGAAGCATGCGCAGAGAAGCTTGAGGAGAGAATTTTGCAGAGGAACTTGCTTGGAAAACATGCTCAGAGAACTTTGCGCAGAGCCATTTGAACTTTGAGCAGCCTTTGGTTCCTTGGCCGGGGATCATTAATTGCATGGCAAATTTCTCCAAAGGCGACGCGAAAATCTCCCAGCCAGGGCAGATTTCGTGGCAGGCGCAGAGCTTTCGCGAGGTCAGGTGCAGATTTCGTGACAGGGTTCCGTGGCGGGCGCAGCACTTTCTCAAGGTTAGGTGCGAGTGCCGTGGCAGATGCAGCTCTTCTCGCAAGGTCAGGAACAGGTTTCGCAGCGGGCGGCGCTTTCGCGGGGTTAGGTGCAGATTTTGTGACGGGTGGGGAAGGAGGCACAGGTCCAACTCACAACTCAGGCACGCATTTTGTGGCAGACGCAGCGCTTGCGCAATGTGCAGGTTTCGTGACATGCGCATCAGGAGTTTATAAAGAGAATCGGTAGACATCTGAAAAGCCATAAAGACATTGAAGGACAGATACTTAGATAGATGAAAAAAGAGAGATAGCTAGAGAATAGGTAGATTGATAGAGAGTTACACAAACAGGTGGGTAGATTGGTCTTCCATATGCAAGAGCGATAGAAATCTGGGTGGGTAAGTCCAACACAGAAACCTAGACAGATGGATAGATGGATAGATGGATAGATGGATAGATGGATAGATGGATAGATGGATAGATGGATAGAGAGACAGCTAGGTAGGCAGATAGCAAGAAAGAGAGAGAGAGAGAGAGAGAGACGAGAGACAAGGTAGACAAGCAGAGGGGTGGATGGGGTTGGATGGATAGACTGATGGAGGGAGATTACGTAGATATAGGTCGATAGGAAGGCAGGTAGCGAGACAGATGCCTAGACAGGAAACAGACAGATAGAGGGAGGGACAGATGAGAGGAAGATAGATAGATAGACGAGAGGAGGAAAGAGAGAGAGAGAGAGAGACATAAACAGCAAGATTCAGTGGGCAAAAAACGCAAAGATGCGCACGCGAGGCACGTGGCCAGAGAAATATAGGTAGAAAGAGGGGCAGAAAACGAGAAAACACGAGGCGAGACAGAAAAAAGAAAGGAAAACAGATCGAAAGAAAGCAAGAAAGAACGAGCAACAGACAGACAGACAGACAGACAGACAGACAGACAGACAGACAGACAGACAGACAGACAGACAGCAAGAAAGAGCGAAAGAAGGAAAGAAGGAAAGAAAGAGCGAGAGAAATCAACGAAAGAGCAGAAAGAGAAAAAGGAAGAGTTAAAGACAGAAATGCAGAAAGGAAAGAACAGAAATTAAGAGAATAACGAAAGGCACAAAAGGAAGAAAGAACAAATGACAAGAAAGACAGAGAAGAAAGAAAGAAGACAGAACGACAGAACGACATCATGAAAGAGAGTACAGGACAAGAGAAGACAATAGAGGAGGAAGGGAAACATGATTGCAAAAAGAACGAACAATAAGAAACAGCGCCGAAAGAAAGAAGGACAGGAACCCGTATACAAGAGACAAGAAACGACAAGAAATCAGAAGCAAGGACATACAGACAGAAAAAGCAAGAGAACGCAGAACAATAGCAAGAGCAATAGAAAATATTTTCTCTTTCTGAAACTTCCTCCCGGCTTCGGCTCTGTTGGTACGCGAGAGATGGCCTGAGGCAAGAAATCACCAGCGCTTACATCGAGGTTCGGCAGCCTGTCTTCGCTCGGCACCTGGAGCTGACGTCTTGGGATTTCACGCGCCCTGGAAATCGATTTGTGGAGATCGGGCAGGTGGGTGGGCGAGGGGGGGGGGGGGTGATGGGGGGGATTCGTGTTTTTATTTTTTGGAGGTTCTGGATTTTGCGAAGATCTGGCAAGCAGAAAGTCTAGAGTCTAGTTTGTTGTGCCTACCTGCGCAGGAAGTGAGTATGCGACTTGCTGATTCAATGGCTGGGACTTTTACAGGATTTCGGTACAGGATCCTTCTCACAGATCTTGTACACCATGTTTAAGCCAAGGTTGAACTATGCTTTTTGCTTATGATGCAGGTATAGTGAGTTATGCATATTCGAAGGCATGACGTGCAAGACGTCGGTCTTTGGCGGACGCCCCAGTACACCCGCATGATACAAACATATAAATATATATATATATATAAAACACATTTAAACAAGCACACCTACAATACATAACATATGTATCTATGTTTTGCACACGGCGCCCGCGTCGTGGATCGCAAGCAAAGTCACCAGTCCGACCTCTCGTATTGCATAGCCATGCTGCAGCCAGAGTCGCGTGATAATTTGCTCACGAATCACAAGAGCGCAAGAGCTCGCCCAGTGGCCGTGCAGGCGGCCGATGCCCGCAAGCCTGTAAACCCAAGGTTCAGGAGCGCACGGCAGGCCTTTTACTTGAACCGGCTAGCAGCTGAAATTATATGTTGCCAGGTCCCAGTGCCGGCTGTGCACAGCTAAGCACTTGGCGCAGCTGAAGCACACCTGATAATTCCACAGTGAATGAATGGGCTGACGTCCACACTTATGTGCTAGGCATTGCCGAAAACTGGGGCATGCACAGGCTGATGCCAATCACGCTTCTCCAGCGTGGCAGTGAGGCTGCAGCACAGATTGAGGTTTTAAGGACCCATGCTGGCGATTTTTTGTGCTGACTGGTTGTCCCTCTTGAGGGACAAGACCGACGGAGGCCGACGGAGCGGCTGACAAGCCTTCAATGAACCCTCATCGCTGCGTGGCTGTTCGCATTGGCCCGATTCTAAAATATGTGACAATGCGCTGTCATCGCAGGCGGTGTTCACTGTAGGGCGCGCTTGCAATTGGCTTCAACGGCACGCATGGCTGAGTGGCTTGCAACTTGAGGCAAAATTCGGACCAAAAATTCGCCCGCCTTCTCGTCAATATCTGCACTGTCGCTTCAATCGCATCAGCACCCATGGTGAAATGCAGCAGGGGACTTCGAGTGTTGAAGGCGTATTTTGTGAAACTGGAGGAAAGATCATAAGGCATGACGAAACAACACCGTGATCTGCGGTGAAGCCTTTTCCGAGCCCCAGCAGGGGCAGCTTTGCTTGCTGCCTTTTGAGGATATTTCGACTACAAGGCTCACCTCCTCCCCATCCAGTGGACAAGAGACTTGCAATTTGACCTGAACTGTTGCGAGCGGCGGCATCGCACGAGGTTCCTACAATGGTGTTTGCAGCAAAAGTGCATGTTGTGCAGGTTCAGAGTTCAGAAGCATTCCCACCCAAGTTTCGGACAACTGTGCATTCATTCCAGTTGCATCAGGAGCCACAGAGGTCGTCAACACTTCAGCCGCTTAGAGTTACGAAGTACGTAGCGCAGCAGTTTAAATGTGTTTGCTTGGGTGTGGGCAAGACACAGCCTTATTGCACTTCATCCGCTGCGCTCCCGTTATGCCACGTAAGCTTCCGCAAAGCCAGCCACGCATTCCATGCGAGACGTTTGCAACAGCCCCTCGGAACTCAAATGATGCAAGAACCAAGGTATGTAAAGCATGCGCATGAAGGACCTACCGCAAAAGTATTGTCCACCTTGCCGGCGCGTGGCCGAATTAGCATGGATGGGGGAAAGCCTTTTGGTGCTGTCAAAACACATGCTCGCGCCCCTGCCGATGATGAGTTCAAGCGAAACTGACTGGGGTCGCATGGCTTTCGCAGGTTTTGCCGCAGCGAGTTTTGAGATAACCAAAGGTTGCAAATTTTGTTGCAAAGCCAGCAGCAGGCACTCACGTGACCTTTAACAAAGACATTTCTCGGCTGCGCCAGACGCCGCTAGATGTGCGTTGTCGAACTGTGAGAGGCAGCTTTGCTTGCCAGCTCAATGTTGGCCGATTCTCCATGTACTCGGACACAGCCATATGCCCTTCACATTGAACTGTCAAGGTGCAGATTTGGGCGTATGTGCAGTCAAGTCGGGGCAACCGAGCTGGCTTGCCACCAGCGCGTGGCGAGATTAACTGTTGACTGTGGCCGATAAATCTGCTCGTTAGCTGAGGCTGACTGGGGGCTGCAAGGCTTGCGCTGGGTTTGCCGTGGCATTTGCTGCCAACGCATCGCGGGTTGTAAGACCTGCAGCAAGCACTCACGTGACCTTTCGCAAAGAGCTTTCCGGGCCCTGGCAAGGCTGTCTGCCCTCCTTCATGCGCTTGGAACGTGTTGGCACCGCACGCGTGCAGAAGCTGGGTGCTTGGTTGAGCGGCAGAATTCCCACACGGCAGCTTTGGCTGCCAAGCGAAATACGGCTCACCAGCGTGGCAGCAAGGCTGCAGTGCAGGTTCAGGTTTTCAGGACCCATGGCGGCGCAAATCACGCGATCTCCACATTGAAGCGCTTCTTACAGTGTGCTCAGAGGTTACCAGGTTTAACAAACATCACGGTGCAATAGTGGCGTATGTTGGTTTGTTTGCGTACGGGCATTAAGCATGCAGAGCCCACTGCTGAACTTCATTTGCCGTGCTCCGGCTAGTCAACGTGTGTAAAGAATGCAAGTGAAGGACGTACTGCGAAAGGAATGTCCACCATGCCAGCGCGTGGCCTAACCGAGGCTGACTGGGGCCGCAAGGCTTTCGCAGGTTTTGCCGCAGCGAGTTGTGAGATAACATCACAGGTTGCAAAGCCAGCAGCAGGCACTCACGTGACCTTTAACGAAGACATCTCTCAGCCGCGCCAGACGCAGATGTGCGTTGTCGAACTGTGAGAGGCAGCTTTGCTTGCCAGCTCAATGTTGGCCGATTCTCCATGTACTCGGACACAGCCATATGCCCTTCACATTGAACTGTTGAGGTGCTCAACTCGGGGCAACCGAGCTGGCCTGGCACCAGCGCGTGGCGAGATTAACTGTTGACTGTGGCCGATACATCTGCTCGTCAGCTGAGGCTGGCTGAGGTCTGCAAGGCTTGCGCTGGGTTTGCCGTGGCATTTAACTTGCGCGCAACTTTAGAGCGAACTTGTACTTCTGCCAAGGTGTACTTCGCTTGTGATACTTGTACTTAAAAATGGGGTAACGTTTGCGCCGGAGCTGCCCAAGTGCACTTCGCGTATACTAATTACACTTGTGCTTAAAGGCTGTGAGTTTAAGGCGTCTTTCGGGTTCCGAAGAAGTGGTTCAATCTGTGTATCACCCCCTTTGTATAAGCAACCCCACGTGGCCTTTCGGCTTGTGATGTTTCCTCTTGAAGATGCGGATGTTTCCGAGGTGCGGATGCTGGCGCTGCCGCCTGGAGCTGCACCTCGCGGCGCTCGGCTGCGACAGCGCGGCCGAGGCCCGGCGGCTGTGGCGGCGCTTCGAGCGGCTGAGGCGCACCGGCGCCTGCGCGGAGCAGGCCCAGCTTGGCGGGTTATTTTCCTAGTTGTTGTGGCGCCCGGCTTGGATTTCGGATTCGGACCCCCCGCTCCATTCAAACCTACTTAGACATTTGAGGATGAAATCCAGTGACCAACGCAGCTCTTTCCCCCGAGTTCCTCGAGGGCCAGATTAAAACTAGCAAATGTATTCGCGTACATCAATCGAGGAACCGAGAACCATGTACAATTCGAGAGCAAATCACACCTCAGGTCAAATGCCCAGGCCAGAACTTGTTTTAGGCAGGCATGTGCCTGACATGGGAGGGCCGTCTAGGGGTTGAATGTATAGCGTTGCAGGATTGGTTGTCAAACCGCCCTGGTCCATCTAATTAGGGCAGGGTTTTGCTTCCGCTCACTATTTGGGGTTAGTTTCAGAGCAACGCTCCAGGATCTTCAGAACCTGGTGGATAGCGCCGAAAACCACACGAGAAACCTGCTGAAAGACTTCTTGGCGGCGCAAGCCGCTTGGAGGCAACTTTGTTGTTTCTTTTTTTCTACTCGTAGATGTTTCAAAACTTTAGAGCCTCCGGCTCAGTCCGCCGACATTGTCCTCTCCCTTTTCTCCTTCTTCCTCTCTTCCTTGTCTCCCTCGTGTGTTCTGTCGTCCTCTCTCCCTCCCTCTGCTCCCATCCTCCCCATCCCCCCAAGCCTCTCTCTCCCCACTCTCCCTCTCTCGTATGTATGCAGGCATGTACATATGTATGTATGTATGTATGTATGCATGTATGTATGTATGTATGTATGTATGTATGTATGTAATGTATGCATGCATGTACATATGTATGTATGTATGTATGT